TTATGTCCTGTCATTTAGGAATTCATCCCACCCCTTAGCACCCACCTCTGTGGCCACAAAATTGGGGGCAGCTGACACTATTTCCCAGGGTTACAGTGGAATTGTATTTTTTTAATTTTTTTAATTTATTTTTTTATTTTTATTTTTGGGGTCCAGTCGTGGGGCCTGAACTCTGGGCCTGGGCGCTGTCCCTCAGCTATTCAGCTCAAGGCTAGCGCTCTACCACTTGAGCCACAGCGCCACTTCCGGCTTTTTTTTCTTTTTGCTTATGTGGTACTGAGGAATCGAACCCAGGGCCTCAGGCATGCAAGGCAAGTGCTCCACCACTGAGCCACCTTCCCAGCCCCTGGGATTGTATTTTTTGTGTTCCAATACTGGGACTTGAACTCTTGAACTCAGGGCCTCGCTTTCTCATGTAGCTCAAGGCTAGTGATCTACCACTTGAGCCAAAGCTCCACTTCCGGCTTTTTGGTGGTTCATTGGAATTAAGAGTCTCACAGACTTTCTTAGTTTGGGCTGGCTTTGAACCGTGATCCTCAGCTCTCAGCATCCTGAGTAGCTAGGATTACAGGTATGAGCCACTGGCTCCCCAGTTTATGTTGGAATTATTGACATGATACAAAGCTTTATTCCTGGCCGGTCACTAGCTCCTCTCACTATTGCCTTTGTCAGCTCCAAACCCACCTGTCTGTAAGCCACGCACTACTTGCTCAGCCCAGCCCACCTGCCATGTCCCAAACTAGCTTCAGTTTGCTGACCTCCCTAGGGAAGGGGTTGGGGATAGAGAGGTTGCATGGTTGGGCCCTGCAAGGGAGGGTCCAGAGACTCCTGAATCGCCTGTACCCTGGCTTCCCACCTAGTTGGAAACACCCAAATATTCAGAAAATATTCAGTTCTGTTTCACACTCTGCACCTGAGGTTGTGTGCCCTCCTTGCTCTCAGTGCACACTACCACCCCGAGGAAGAGGGAGCCCCACTCTTTCCTACCTTGTGTTCAGCTCCTTGTCTGAGAGGCTGGCTGGTACCTCGTCCCCCTGTGTAGGTGATTGTATCAAGCTCTTACTTAGTGATCGATAAATGTGATTGGATGGATGAGTGACCAGCTGATGAGCCCCACCCCAGGGGGGTCACTGGGAGACATGCCGGGCTCTGGAACTTGCAGAGGCCTTCAGATTTGAGGTGGTGACATTTCTGCAAGTGGTGCCCAGGTGCAGCTGTGGTGAGGCAGGTGGGTGAATTAGCACCGCGATGCAGGTGCTGACTGCCTGGAAGTGGGAGCTACAGAGGGAGCAGGAGAAAGGGGAGAGCCTGAAGTACAGGAGCCGAGAAAGGGGCGGGAGGCCGGAGTGTAGGGACACAGGAGGCCAGAAGCTGCAGTGGGAGTGGACCCCAAGGTTCTTTGTCTTGGGCGATGACCAAATCCATGCTTATTTAGTCCTATAGAATTCAGTGGGCAGGTGTGTGGCTGGGATAGGAAGGAGGCTGCTGACGTGGGTGGTGTGGTACACGGACTGGGGGCTTCAAGCAGAGCCCAGGGCCCAGCCCACTCCAAGTATCCATGAAATGCTGTGGGTAGAGAGCAGGCCTGGCAGAGCACAAGACCCTGTGTGTCCTTCTGTGTGGCCCTGGCTGGGGCACTACTCTTCTCTGGGCAGAGATGCCTAATGGTGTGAGAATTTGCACAGAGGTGCCTACACGCTTTGCTGAGGGAGCAAACTGTGCCAGGTGCAATCACTGCTGTTCCCTGAGTGCTGTTCCTGTGACCTCTTAACTTTGCACCTGGGAAGGTCACCCTGGCCTGGTGGAGGCCCACAAGCCTGAGTCAGGAAGGTCCTGGCCTCAAAGCCAGTGGGGCCAGGACCTGAGGGATAGCTACTTCTTAAGAGAGCAGCAAAGGGGGCATGAGCCCGTCCACACATCTTATACTGTTGTGTGCCTCGTGTCCTATCAGATGATTTCCAGAGACTTACGGATTTTTCTGTGCCCGGGCTGGCTTTGAACCACGATCCTCAGATTTCAGCCTCCTGAGTAGCTAAGATTACAGGCGTGCACCACCAGCACCCAGCCTGCCTTTCTTCTCTGTTTCTTGGTCTGGTTTTGGGGATTTTGAGGCAGGGACTTGCTGTGTAGCCCCAGCTGGCCCAGAACTCCGGATCGTCCTGCTCCAGCACACTCCTGTTCCGCCTCACTGCCGCCCCATGAGGCAGAGCCAACCCCTCTTGTGAGTGAGGTCACAGGCTGGTGAGGGGATGTGACTCGCTGTGGAGACTTAGCCTCCAGCTGGGAAGACTGTCAGTAGCAAGAGTGCAGACGGGAATGAAGGAACAAATGTGTGCATGAATGAATCGCTTGCTGCTGCCACATCCCTGGCCTGGCTGCCCTGGCCTGGCCCTGGCTCCCGGAGGGGCTGGGGAAACAGAGACTCTGCATCAAGTCTTACAAAGCAAGCCAAGCAGGCCAGGCTGGGCAGTTGTGGGAAGAGGGCCTGACTTTCTGCCCAGGGATGAACAGAGGGATTCTGGGAGGGAAACAGGGGGCTTCCTGGTCCTGGCAGAGGAGAAAGGAGCCCTGATCTGGGGGACAGACCTGACCTTGGGCCTCTCAGTGGGCCTCAGTTTCCCCTGTACATTCGACTCCTTGAGCTAAGTGTCTTGGGCAGTGTGGACAGTAGAGCCTAAGGGTTCGAGGGTCAGTTAGTGGGACTGGGCCTGGAGTCCAGGCAGCAGCCCCGGGGGTGGGGAGTGGGGGCACTGGGAATTGTGACAGTTCCAGGCCTACAAACACGAATTAGATCATTTCTTCCTCCCATCACTTGGGTCCCCACGACTGAGTCTCGGGACCAGGACCGGAAGGCGGGCACACCGCACCATCTCTGCTCCAGGCACAGCGTACTTGGCCATGTTGTCTCCTCTGCCCATCCAAACACTGCTCCTGTTGCCAGCCCAGTTTTCCCAGAACACCAATGTAAAGTGACAGCCCCGGAGAAAGAGGCGAGACCTGCAAGGGGCAGGATCTGTCTGGCCCACAGACCATGAACTCAACCCTATCAGAAACGTCAGGGCTGGGCTGCTGGCTAGAGTCTCAGGAGACTGAGATCTGAGGCTCAAGGTTCAAAGTCAGCCCAGGCAGACGAATCCAAGACATTCTTATCTCCAATTGAAAGCAAAGAGCCAGAAGTAGAGGTGTGGACCAAGGAGTAGAGCGCCAGCCTTGAGCAAAAAAGCCAAGCAAGAGCATGAGGCCCTGAATTCAAGCCTCAGTAGTAAATAAACAATCCAACCAACTTCAGAACCTCTGTGTCTCCCTCCCCACCAGAGCCGCCCTGAGAGCAGCTCCTTGTGGGACCCACACAGAGGGCCTCATCTAGGCTGGGGTGTCTTCGACAAGGTCATAACTGGGAGGCCCCATCATGTCTCTAGAGCCTTAAGGAACAAGCAAAAGAAAGGTGTGGCCAGCCCGCACTGTCCCCCAAAGGTTCAGTGTCCAGTGTGCCTTCCCCGCCCCCACTCTGGAGGAGCTTTGTTGCCTGGCACAGGCAGGCTTTCTTGGGGGACTCCACCCAGGCCATTCTTGGATATGTGCCAAATTCAGCCCCTGAAGACAGGGGTTCCCCCAAAGGCCCTCCATCCAGGGAGGGCACCCTCAAGATCCTCCAATGCCCCTCCCACCCACCAGGCTTCCTCCAGTGGGCCCTTGATTTGCTGTGTGGCCTTGGATCGGTGGCTGCCTCTCTCTGGGCCTCATTGCTGACTGACAGCTGTAGGCTCAGCCCCAGCCTAGCCCCGCCTGGCACGAGGCTCTGCCAGAGCTTCTGCCTGGCTCGGCTCCAGAGAGCCGCAGCACAGGGCTGTCACATGCTGAGCCACGTGACAGCTGGCGGATGGGGGCTGCATCTTAAGCAGAGGACGGGGCTTCCGTGACCCCGACCCCCACCCCTTACCCAGGCAGCTCAAACCACCGGGCTGCTAGCGAGGGCGTGGGGCTGGACGACCTGCCCTGCCTCCCCAGGTAGGCAGAGGCCCGGGGTGGGGCTGTGACTAGCATCTCCCAGGTGCAAGGCCGGCCCGGAGGCCCTGGGGAGGAGGCTCCAGGCAGGCCCGGGGCACGCGCAGAGGGAGGCTGCGGCAGTGGCCCAGGGCACAAAGGGTGTCTCCCACACACCTGAACCCAACCACCTGCCGTCTGCAGGATCGTGGCGTTTGTGCCAGGCTCCCCGAGGTGCCCGGGTGGGGCGGGGGACAGGCGGGGGACAGGCGGGGGCAGGCCCCCGGCACCCAGCACGGCAGGACCCCAGGGATCACCACGGCGACACACAGCGCAGTGACGGCTGTCCTGCAGGGCGGGGAGCGGGCCGGTCCCTGGGAGCTGCAGGGGCGTCTGCGGGTCTGTGGATGGGGACACACCGGAGCCGTCCTGAGCTGGGATTTCTCGACTCTTGTTTTTGTTTTATTTTGTGTGTCAGTCCTGGGGCGTGTTCTCAGGGCCTGGGGGCTGGCCTGGAACTTTTTTTGCTCAAGGCTGGCCCTCTACCACTTGAGCCATGCCTTTACTTGCAGTTTTTTGGTAGTTAATTGGAAGTAAGAGTCTCACGGACTTTCCTGCCTGGCCGGCTTTGAACTATGGTCTTTAGATCCTAGCCTCCTGAGTGGCTAGGATTACAGGCGAGAGCCACTAGTATGCAGCCTGGACTCTCTTCATTGTGCAGATAGGGAAACTGAGGCTTAGGGTAAAGGAAGGGGGGGAGGCAGGGCCTTTCTTGCTAGTCAAGGCCACCAGGCCCCACCCCACTGCCCTGGGCTCCCTTCTCCTAGGGCTGAGCCCCTCATACTCGTGCTGTGTGGCCCTGGACTGGCGTGGATCCTCTCTGGGCCCTGGCTTCTCCTCTGCGGAAGCAATCTAGAGGCCCTGAAGGAGGGGGTGGCTTTCTGCTGCCAACGGCCCAGAGCCGAGGTCAGGCACGGGGCCAGGGCGGCCCCGCCCCAGGGCTGGTGTTGTTGGACATTTCATAAGCGCAGCGCCGGGACCGAGTGAGGACGCGCAAGAGGTACAGCGGCCTCCCGGGGAGGCCGGGGCCGCGGTGAGCTGTCAGGGCGGGGATCTGGGTGAGCCACTCTGGGTGCGGCCACCCTGGCACCCTGGCGCTGGCCTGGTCTTGCTGGGAGAAAGGAGAAGTTGGAGGGGTGGGGGAGAGGATGTCCGGGAGCTCTGTCTGTCTGTCTGTCAGGCCCATGCGTTCCGTCTATCAGGCTCAAGTGCTCTGCCTGACATCTGCCTGGCAGGCACAGCTGTTCTGTCTGTCTGTCTGTCTGGTGCAGGTGCTCTGTCTGTCAGACCTGAGCTGCCGGTTCTGGGGCTCTGGACATCCTGTGAGCCCTCCAAGAGGGCCAACTTCTCATTCAGGCAACAACTGTGTCCCCAGTGCTGCCAGGGAGACCAGGCTGGTGGGGACGCGAGCAATGGACTTTGTGGGCGGGGGAGGAGGGCCTGCTGGCAGGCTGCCTGTGTGTGGGAGGGGCTGGGGTGCCAAGCTCCCCAAGGAGCCGGGACGGGAGGGGCTGCTGCGCGCAGCTCGGGCCGGCCTCATGCAATCCAGGCTCATCCCTTGGAATGGAAAGCCCTGGGCCTGCCAGCCTTTGAGGGCAGCCCAGGACCCCAACCTCCAGCATCCGTGGCTGCTTCCTGGGGCCGGGGTGGGGGTGGGGGTGGCTCCTGGGCGCTTTGACCAAGCTTCCACTCTTCTCTGTCAGCCATGGCCCACACGGGATCAAGTCCCACGGGCATGACCCGCACGTGCTCCCCCACAAACCCGCCCCACCGATGACCACAGGCTCTGTCCCATTGCACAGCTAGGAAAAGCGAGCCACAGGGGCGCGTAACCTGCCCCGTGACCTCTGGCTGGCGCAGCACATGCAGCCGCTGAGATTTGGACCCAGGCCGCCGGACCCCAGACCACGCGACAAACTTAGGTCTGAGCAAGGGGAGGCAATCAGTTGCACCTGCTACAGGGCAGGGGGTCAGGGCTCCCCAATCCATGAACCCCCAGAGCCTGGAGCACAGCTCTGACTGCTTCCCCTCCCTCCCCGCTAGGCTTTAAGACCCTCTGCACCAGCACCTGTGGGCTACCACAGCAAGCAAAGTTCCTTAGTCAGCGTCTGATGTGTGTGTGTGTGTGTGTGAGAGAGAGAGAGAGAGAGAGAGGGAGATTACTGGGGTTTGAACTCAAGGCCTTGTGTTCTTATTTTTCTTTCTTTTTTGATTGGTTCTGGGCCTGGGCGCTGTCCCTCAGCTCTTCAGCTCAAGGCAAGTGCTCTACCACTTGAGCCACAGTGCCTCTTCCAATTTTCTGGTGGTTCATTGGAGATAAGAGTCTCATGGACTTTACTGCCTGGGTTGGCTTTGAACTGCGATCCTCAGATCTCAGCCTCCTGAGTAGCCAGGATGACAGGCGTGAGCCACTAGTGCCTGGCTAATTATTGTTTTTTCAAGGACTCTCCAAACCCATGGTCTTGGGGGGGGCTGGTCCTGCCCTGCCCCACCCCCACAGACTCCCTGGGCCTGCCAGCCCCCCTCAGCCAATGAGGCGAGGCGGTCTACAGGGGTGGGACCGCCTAGCAGGGAAATTCCTGCGAATGGAACCGGACCCAGTTGCCCTCACTGGGTACGCTCTTGCCCTTGGTGGACAGGGCAGTGCCCACCAGACTCTGGTTTGCAGCCCACGAGTGTCCCTTCCCTGCAGGAAGAGCCTCAGCCATCCCTCTGCCCGGGAGGCTGATGGTGCTGCACCCAGCGAAGGCGGGCTTGGGGCCCTGCGCCGCCCGAGGCCTGGCGTGCGTGGGAACCCCGGTTCTCTTGTCCTGGATGGCTCGCCAGTTCTCTTGTGAGGTCGCAGGCGGCCCCCACCCCCCTGCTGGAGACTCCCCAGGGCCTGTCTACAGCCAGCCGTGGGGGAGGGGCAGGGGGCAGTCCCGTTGCTAGGAGCAGCTGCTGGAATGTTCCACACCCCACCAGGGAGAGCTCCCTGTCCACAAGCTGCCTTCTGCCCTGAGCTCTTCACATTTTTGTGGGCTCTGCGAAACCTCCAATGAGGGGCAGGCAGGGCTGCGGCTCCCCCTCTACCGGGGCCAGCGGGAGTCTGCGGCAACATGGGGTGGGAAAGCACCAGCCGCGCGCCAGCACCTGTGCCTCACGCCTGTAATCCCAGCTGCACAGGAGGCTGAGAGCTGAGGGACGTGGTTCAAAGCCAGCCCAGGCAAGAAGGACCCTCCTCCCATCTCTAATGATCAGCCAAGGGCTAGTGACTCCAGGAGTAGAGCACCAGCCTGGAGTCAAAAAGCTCAAGGACAGAGCTCAGGCCTGAGCCCATGAGCACAAGTACGCGTGTAAGTGTGCAGGCACGTGCGCGCTCGCACACACACACACACACACACACAGAGCATGATTGAGGGGGCGGTGATATCTGTGACCCCCTTAAGCATGGCTGATCTTTATTGCATGTTCTGGTGGCCTGTGGGCTTTGTGTCACTTTCTCTCCTGTTACAAATGAGGAAACTGAGGCAAGTCTCACACTGCTAAGAGCAGAGCCCAGAGCCCTGCAGAGGGCTCTGTCCTCCTTTGCCTCCTGCCCTCTGCCCCGGTCACCTGGGTCCCGGCAGCCCTGAACCTGTGGCTTTGGGCTAGGCCTGGCGGTGCCCCCCTCCCCAGGGCAGGGGGCGGGGAAGCGGGGCCCGGCCCTGTGTGGTTGGGTGTCGGGGCCGCCCTGCCCAGCCAAGTCACGCTGTCCTGTCTGGCAGGATGGAGCCGCTGGAGGACACACTGCGGCGGCTGCGGGAGGCCTTCTGCGCGGGCCGCACACGGCCGGCTGAGTTCCGGGCGGCGCAGCTCCGGGGCCTGGGCCGCTTCCTGCAGGACCACAAGCAGCAGCTGCAGCAGGCGCTGGCCCAGGACCTGCACAAGGTGTGGATGCGGGGAGGGGCAGCAGGGGTGAGGCAGGAGGGGAGCTCCTTCCTCAAACAGAACCCACCGTGCCCCACCAACCCGTTCCCTTCTGCCATCACTCAACCTCTAGACTCCAGGGGTGCCAAGCAAAGCTAAGCCCAGCCTCTACAGAGCTGGTCTGGGGGAGATAGGACCACAGTGCAGCATATACACAGAATACTGGCTGGTAACAAGGTCATAGAAACACTTCCAGTGTGAAGCTGGGGGTCAGGAAGAGTTTGAGAAAGGGATGTTAGGAACAGGAAGGGGGAGAAGGAGAGATCTACAGGGCATAGCATGTGCAAAGGCCCTGTGGCAGAGGGAACTTTATACATATGTGTTTGAGGAGCCCAGTGTGGCTGTGGAAAACAGATCTAGAAGCTGAGGCCCAGGGAGGTGGGCCACACCAGGCAGGCTCTAGTTGGCCCTGGAGGACTTAGGCTCCCCCTGGGTACAGTGGGCACCAGCCTGGAGATCAGTCCCAGTTCCAGCAACAGCCATGCAAGCTGGAGTGCTCCCCCCAGAAAAGACAAACAGCACACAGTTCCCTGTAGGCCAGACCCCGAGTCCATCACCAGCAAGGCCGCTCTGTTCCAGGACAGCCATCCAACAGGTTGTCCTGGTGGCTCCTCTTCTCTGAGTAAAATGTCCCCTCCTTCAGCCCCTGTGCTCCTGGGAGCCCTGTGGGCACTGTCCCCTCCACCTGTCCCCAGCCCAGGCCAGCCTCCCCGGAGTCCCTGTTTCCCTTCTCAGCTCATATTTCACTTCTGCCTTCCCATCCTTACAAAGGGAGCAGTGGCCCAGAAAATTCAATCTGTGCCTCACTGTGATCTTGGCCAACCTGCGGTCCCCATCCTCCCGGCACTCCTGAACCCTTGCTTAATCCCCTTCCTGCAGCCATCGCCCAGCCGCCCCCAGTCGGCTCAGACAGGGCAAGCCCAGCCAGGAAGGGATGACTTAAAGTGCCCCGTCCTCCCCAAAGCAATCTCTGCTAGGCCCAGGCCTCTGCTGACCCCTGCAAAGTTGCCCAGGGCTGGGCAGGCCAGCACTTCCGGGCACAGAGGGGGCTGTAGGGCATGTTGGGCCAGGCCCAGCCACCAGGGGGCACTGGCTGGCGGGATGTCTGTGGGTCTCCAAGCTCACAGCCCCTCCACCCCCAGACTCAGCGCTGGCCTTGACCTTTGAACCCTCCCGGCTCCCCTTGGGCCTTTAATCTCTACTCTAACCCAGGAGCACTTGGATCAAGGTGGTTGTGACTCCGACAGGGAGACATTGGGGCTGGTGTTCCCGGCCTTGGCCTCCGGCCGCCTAGTTCTCTCCTGGAGTAGAGGCAAAGCACATGGCTGGCAGAGATTGATGCCAGGTCCCCATCGACTCTGTCTCCTTCGCACTCTTGCCCCCGGCACCTGACAGGGGCCCCTGGGAACTGCCATCATTTGTCCAGGAAAGTCTGTGTCTTGTGTCCCCTGCGGACAGACGTGCACACAGCAGGAGTCAGGTCCTGTCGCGGCTCTGCCTGCAGGCCTCCACTGCCCAGCCCACGCCCCTGACGGCGAAGAGCAAGCCATCGCCAGCCATTGAGCTTTGGTGCCTGCCAGGATCTTTGCCCAGAATATTCCAGACATGTTCCAGATGTCCCGGGCTCCTTCCTGCCCCTTCCTCAGGTCACAGCTCAATTGTCAGATCATGTGGCCAGGTGTGATGGTGCTCTTGTAATCGCAGCACTCAGGATGTGGAGGCAGGAAGATCACACGTTTGAGGCCAGCCTGGGCTGGCCTTGTCTATGAATGAACGACACCGTCCTATCCCAGAAACTTGCACCAATACCTTGCCCACAGACCAAAAGTGTACCTGCAGGTACACTGGTACACACCTGTGACCTGTGTTCTCATTCTCTGTCTACCCCTGCCCTCTTCCACTTTTCTCATAGAACCAGCCATGGCCTCACTGGGCACGGTGGCTCATGCCTGTAATACCAGCTACCCAGGAGGCAGAGATCAGGAGAAGTGAGGTTCAAAGTCAGGGCAAAAAAAAAAAAAAGAAGTTGTGAGTCGCTGGTAATGGGGCGCCACACAGCTGCCCCTCAGCCTCCCACGAGAGAAGGGAGAATGGCAGCCTTGACCCAGGCCTGCCCTGGCAAAAAGTAAGGTCTCAAACATAGCTAAGCTGAGGCTGTGGCGGGAGAGGCTGTGGGCCTGCCCGGTAAGCTCCTGCTATAGTGCAGGCGCAAGAACACCTCTGCAGTGGGAGTGCACACACGCATGCATGCAAGAACCTCTGCAGTGGGAGTGAATGCACACATGCATGCAAGAACACCCCTGCAGCGGGAGTGAATGCACACATGCATGCATGAACACCTCTGCAGTGGGAGTGAATGCACACATGCATGCATGGACACCTCTGCAGTGGGAGTGAATGCATGCATGCATGAACACCTCTGCAGTGGGAGTGCATGCACACATGCATGCATGAACACCTCTGCAGTGGGGTGCATGCACACATGCATGCATGAACACCTCTGCAGTGGGAGTGAATGCACACATGCATGCACGAACACCTCTGCAGTGGGAGTGAATGCACACATGCATGCAAGAACACCTCTGCAGTGGGAGTGAATGCGTGCATGCATGCAAGAACCTCTGCAGTGGGAGTGCATGCACACATGCATGAATACCTCTGCAGTGGGAGTGCATGCACGCATGCATGAACACCTCTGCAGTGGGAGTGCATGCACACATGCACAATGCATGAACACCTCTGCAGTGGGAGTGCATGCGTGCATGCATGCATGGGAGGTGCAGGCCCTGCAGGGATGGGGCTGGGCCAGCGTGACCCCCTGTCCCTCCCTGCAGTCAGACTTTGAGTCCCTGGTGTCTGAGATTGTCATCAGCCAGGGCGAGGTGGACTTGGCCCTCAGGAACTTGCGGGCCTGGATGAAAGATGAGCGTGTGTCCAGGAACCTGGTGAGCGTCCGTGCCCGGGGGTGGACAGGAGGGTTGGGGGGACTGCTTGCTCCCACCTTATGGCCCCCCCAGGCTCCCAAGCCGCTCACCCAGGCTCCCCATTCCAGGCCACACAGCTGGACTCTGCCTTCATCCGGAAGGAACCCTTCGGGCTGGTGCTCATTGTGGCCCCGTGGAACTACCCCGTGAACCTCACGCTGGTGCCCCTGGTGGGGGCGCTCGCGGCCGGTGAGCACCCCACCCATTCCATTCCCATAGCTCACCCATAGGTGGGGGAGGGGGACCAGCCATTGGCCGCCCCGGCCCAGGGCCCGGCCCAGCGCACTCCCCACACTCCCCGCAGGGAACTGTGTGGTGCTGAAGCCCTCGGAGCTCAGCAGGAGCACAGAGAAGGTCCTAGCTGAGGAGCTGCCCCGCTACCTGGATCCAGTGAGCAGGACAGACAGGAGCCCAAGTCCATGGCCTCAGTTTCCCCCCTCAAGCTGGGTGGGCTGGGTGGAGTGGGCTGGAGAGGGACCCCCCCCCGCACACAGCCTGGGCCCCGGATGGAGGGACTGGAGAGCTGGGATGGGAGGCAGCCTCGGCCGTGCCCCCCCCCCCCGCAGAGCTGCTTTGCCGTGGTGCTCGGGGGCCCCTCAGAGACGGAGCAGCTGCTGGAGCACAGGTTTGACTACATCTTCTTCACAGGTGAGGCCGGGGCCTCCCAGGGAGGCACGCTGGGGGGGGGGGTTCAGCTCTGGGAGTCTAGGAGGGACCAAGGCAAGTGGCCAGTCCAGGAAAACCTGGGCAAGCCGTTGGCCGCCCTGGGGTCAGCTCTGCCTCCCCCTCCAGCTGAGAAGCCCGGGGTGCCAGGATCCCTCAGGACCCGGCTCACCCCCCAACCCCGGGCTCCTGCTCAGCTCCCACAGTGCCAGGCCCCGCGTGACCCCGCCCCTTGCAGGCCCCGGCTCCAGAGGTCACCTGCCTTCACCTCACAGCCTGTACGGAGTGTACGGAGCTCCCTGACGCCACTGGCTTCCTATGAAGTCCAGGATGATGTTTCTGGAACTGAGTGGAAAACCCAGGAGTCAGCACTTCTAGGGGCCCTGCGTGTCTCACCAGACCCTTTCCCTGGGGGGACAGCGGTGGGGGCCGGGAACTGAGCCTGCCCAACCTGGGGAGCAGGAAACAGGCACGGCTCCTGCAGTCCACGGGGGAGGGGCGAGAGCAGGAGGCCCAGCTGGAGAGCTGAGGGACAGCGCCCAGGCCCAGAGTTCACATCCCACGACTGACAGAAAAAAGAGAAATCCTGGAGTGGCCCATGGGCTGCGCCACAGGGATCAAGGGGACTGCGGGGTGCGCAGAGCTCACCCTGCCTTCTAGAGCCCCGTACCTGTGGGGCTCATCGGGTAGAGAGCTCATCCCGTACCTGTGGGGCTCATCGGGGAGTCTTGCCTAGAAGGTGGCAGAGTGGTAAAAGCCCCGTGAGGCCCAGCTCTGGCTGACCCTCAAGGGAAGAGCAGCCACCACCAGGTCAGTGTGACTGAGGGGACATGGTTCCCTTCCACGTCCGCAGGGAGCCCTCGCGTAGGGCGGATCGTCATGGCCGCAGCCGCCAAGCACCTGACGCCCATCACCCTGGAGCTGGGGGGCAAGAACCCCTGCTATGTGGACGACGACTGCGACCCCCAGACCGTGGCCAACCGCGTGGCCTGGTTCCGCTACTTCAACAGCGGCCAGACCTGCGTGGCCCCCGACTACGTCCTGTGCAGCCCCGAGACGCGGGAGCGGCTGCTGCCCGCCCTGCAGAGCGCCATCACCCGTTTCTATGGCGACGACCCCAAGAGCTCCCCCAACCTGGGCCGCATCATCAACCAGAAGCACTTCCTGCGGCTGCAGGGGCTGCTGCGCTGTGGCCGCGTGGCCATCGGAGGCCAGAGCGACGAGAGCGATCGCTACATCGGTGAGGCCCGGCTCCCGGCCAGGCGCCCCCCCCCGCGGGGCCCCTTCACAAAAGGGCCCCGGCTGACCCCAGTGTGGGCCTCGGTGCCGCACCCCAGTCCAGAACACCCGCGCCCCAGACCCCTGTGCTTCTGAGCCACGACTCTTCCCATCCAAACCCGACCCCACAGCTCCGGCCCGCTGGGCTCCGACCCCAGCTCCAGGCGCCCAGACTGTGGCTCAAAACCCTGAGCCACCTCGTGCTGCCCCCTGAGGCCGGGACCCCAGCCCCTCCCATGCCGGCAGCCTGGGGTCAGGGGGGTCAGGCTGCTCCTCCCTGCCCCGGGGCACAGCGCCCACAGCCTGGAGGCCGAGCCGCCCCTGTTTCCACAGCGCCCACGGTGCTGGTGGACGTGCAGGACACGGAGCCCGTGATGCAGGAGGAAATCTTCGGGCCCATCCTGCCCCTGGTGACCGTGAGGAGCCTGGACGAGGCCATCGACTTCATCAACCAGCGGGAGAAGCCTCTGGCCCTGTATGCCTTCTCCAACAGCAGCCAGGTGCGCCTGCGCGGCGGGGCGGGGCGGGCGGGCGGGGCTCCTGCACTGTCAGCGCGCCGCCTGAGGGTGGCAGCAGAGGACACAGGGCCCTCCGTCACTCCCAGGACTGCAGGTCCCTGCCCTCCCTCCCACCTGATGGACAGCTCCCCGGGGTCTTCTCCGCGTTCTTCCACTCTTGCTCACTCATCTGAGCCTGGCGGCCAGTGTCCCCTCCCCGTGCCTGGCTCTCAAGTCACGCAGCAGCGCTGGGAGATCCCAGAATAAAGCGCTGGGTCCCGGTTCCCACTCAGGCCCAAGGCATGGCCTGGGAGGCAAGGTGAGCCGTGGTGCCCCAGCCGAGGACACCCTGAAAATCACTAGCAGTCTCCACCAGGCCCCCTGCCCTCCAAAGATTCTGTCTGAGCAGTGACTTATTTCATGCTGGTCCTAGAACTTGAACTCAGGGCCTGGGCACTGTCACTGAACATTTTTGCTCAAGGCTAGTACTCTACTGCTTGGAGCCACAGCCCCACTTCTGGCTTTTTGGTAGTTAGGAGATAAGAATCTCATGGACTTTCCCACCTGGGCTGGCTTTGAACTTTGATCTTCAGATCTCAGATTCTTGAATAGCTGGGATTACAGGTGTGAGCTACTAGTGCTTGGCTAATGGTTTATTTTTATCTTTATTTTACTACTACTGGGATTTGAACTCAGGGACCTGCACTTGCTAGGCAGGATGTCCATGATTTGAATCATACCTTCAGGCCTCAATATTTTTGTTGTACTAATACTAGGGCCTGAACTGAAGGCCTGGGTGCTGTCTTTTAACTTTTTTGCTCAAGGCTAGCACTCTACCACTTGAGCCATTATTCTACTCTGGTTTTTTCAATTGTTAATTGGAGATAAGAGTTTCACAGAATTTCCTGGGGGGAGGGGCTGGCTTTTAACTGCGGTCCTCACATCTCAGCCTCCTGAATAGCTAGGATTACAGGCATGAGCTGCCTGAGCCCAGTGAGAATCACTTATTGAGGTCACATGGAACTATGATCTATGGGCCACGTGCTGTGTCCCAGGCTGAGGGGCCTATGACCACATCCTCTCTGGTTAAACCAGGAGCTTGAGGCTCTGCTCCAACCTTCCCCACAAGTCTAGGACCAGCCCTCCCTCCATGGAACCACTTACTAGAATCTTCTGCCTCTAGAAATCCTGTGCAGTTTCCTGGCAGTGGCCGAGGGGACTCTCCCTGGTCCTGGGACACACAGTGCATCTTGTCCATCCTGCTTGGCACAACTTTGCAGCTCTCTCTGCCCAGCCTCCAGTATGGCTGGTGTCCATGCTGGTTGCTAGGCAACCAAATGATAGCTGAGCCAGATGCTGGTAATCCTAGCTACTCAGGAGGCTGAGATCTGAGGATCAAAGTTCAAAGCCAGCCTGGGCAAGGAAAATCCAGGAGACTTTTTTTTGTTGTTGTTGGTTGTTGGGCGTGAACTCCCTGCACTCTTCAGCTCAAGGTGAGCGCTCTACCGCTTGAGCCACAGTGTCACTTCCGGTTTTCTAGTGGTTTATTGGAGATAAGAGTCTCACGGACTTTTCTGCCCAAGCTGGCTTTGAACTGTGATCCTCAGATCTCAGCCTCCTGAGTAGCTAGGATTACAGGCATGAGCCACCGGCGCCCGGCTCCAGGAGACTCATCTCCAGTTAACCATCAGAAAGCGGAAAGTGGCGCTGTGGCTCAAATGGTAGCGCGCTCCCCTTGAGCTGAAGAGCTTGGGGACAGCGTCCAGGCCCAGAGTTCAAGCCCCATGACCGACCAAAAAAAAGAAAAAAGATAGTTGAACTCCTGGTGGGAGCCCCTCTGCCTGCCACCAAACCAGCTTCTGCCGCCTCATCTCGGTCACCAGGCAAAGCAGATCGGAGTCACGGCGAGGGCTGCTCAGGGCGCACAGTCTGCTCCGTCCATCCCTCCAGCAGCCCCGCAGACAGAAGGGCAAGGGCCTCAACGGGGATGCGTGAGGGCCGAGTCCCTGCTTGTGAGCCATCGGACTCCTGCTCCCAGGCCCTCCCTGTCCAACCCGCCCCCTCCGCTCTCTCCCAGGTGGTGAGGCAGGTGCTGGCGAGGACCAGCAGCGGGGGCTTCTGTGGGAACGACGGCTTCATGCACATGACCCTGGCCAGTCTGCCATTCGGAGGTGTGGGTAGGTGCCCCGGCCCTGGGCTCCCTGGCACCCCTCCAGTGCACGGAGAATGCCAGTCTGATCTCAGCACAGGGGCAGGCCGGGAGCTGGTCCTACCCCGGCCCCCCATTCCATCCCTGCTCCCATCACACAGAACCTTCCAGACCTGTCTGCACTTACCTGCAGACCCAATTCTGAAGGTATGTTAGGAGCACAAGTGTGGCCCGCGGTCTGCTGCGCCCCTGGCCCTTCTCCTAACAGCGCCGGGATGGCCTTGGCCTGACCATCCACCGCAGTGCATGGCCTCTGCTCCCTGCTGTGAGCTGACCTTGTACCCCCAGCCCCTCCCCCCCCCCGTGCCCCTGCAGCCCACCGGCAGGGCACCTCTGCTGCCGGGAAAGCATGGAAAGCCTCTGCCCGGACACCGCTGGCCCCAGCGCAGCCCCTGCCCTTCTTTGAGCCCCTTTCCCCAGCGACAGGACAGGACCACAGCAGGTGACACACCAGCCTTTTACCTGTCAAACTCAGCAACAAGCCTGGGAAGGCGGCTCAGTGGTAGAGCGCTTGCCTCGCATGCATGAAGCCCTGGGTTCCATTCCTCAGCACCACAGACACAGAAAAAGCTGGAAGTGGCACTTGGCTCAAGTGGTGGAGTGCTAGCCTTGAGCACAGAGAGGCTCAGGGACAGCGCCCAGGCCCTGAGTTCAAGCCCCAGGACTAGGGGGAAAAAAACTCAACAGATTCCATGCCAGCAGGGCGTCCCCGGAGGGCAGCGGCGCACAGCAGTGTACGGTGGGTGGGCAGAGGCTGAGGCTGGGCACTGCTGGCCTGGCTGGGATGGGGGTGTGGTGTCAGCCTCCCTGAGTTTGGCTCTTGCCTGGGTCACTGTCAGACCCGCCTGACCCATGGCTTCAGGAGGGGTGGCAGGCCCGATTCCCGGGGCTTGGGGGCTAGTCCGTGCTGCTCTCGCTAAGGGACCCCCTCGTGCCTTCTCCATCTGCTCCCCACAGCCACATGCCACCCCCTCCAAGGCACTGAGTCCCCCTGCCCCCCCCAGTCCAGGAAGCTCACATCTGCCCCTGGCTCCAGGCAGCCTGGGGGCCCCGACTTCCCTGGCTTGCTTCCCTCCCCCAACACCCAGAGCTCATGACGACAGCACAGTGCTGTGTCTGAACACTGGCTGACACTTGTCCCTTCCCCTGCCCCCGCACCCCCAGCCTGAACCCTACCCTAGGGGGTCAAGCACAGGACACCTGTCCAAAGGACAGTTCCAGAATCCATGACCTGGGCCTCTGTGTGTCTAGCCATCCCCAGCCTGCTGTCATCAGCTACTGAGCGCTCAGCCTTCGTCCCACAATGCCTTATGACTGGTCTACTAGACAAATGGAGAAACTGAGGCTCAGTGCTCAGGTCTCGCCTGACATCCTCTTGGTCGCTGACCCCGTTCTGTGTCTGCGCAGGCCACAGCGGGATGGGCAGGTACCACGGCAAGTTCTCCTTCGACACCTTCTCCCACCAGCGCGCCTGCCTGCTGCGCAGCCCGGGCCTGGAGAAGGTCAACCACATCCGCTACCCGCCCTACACGCCCGGCAAGCTGCGGCTGCTGCTGCTGGCCATGGAGGAGCGCCGCTGCAGCTGCACGCTGCTCTGAGCCCCACGCCCTCCCTAAGCCGGGGATGCTCCGGGGGCCTGGGGGTCAGAGCACAAGGAGGCCTGCCCAGCCCAGCCCAGCGCTGCCCCGCCCCGCCCCTTGACGCCTGGGGGCGGTGGTCTCACTCAGGCAGCGCTTCCCGTGGAGGGCGCAGCGGGAGCCCTCGGCCCACAGCCGATCCTCGCGGACCTGCCGTGCCTGTCTTTCCTGAGACTGTTAGAAATAAAACTAGGGGGCTGCTGACCCGCGCCACAATGTCCTGTCTTCTTTCCTGGGGTGCAGAGGGGATGCCAGCAGCATGGCCCAGCGCGGGGGCGGGCGGGGAGCACTCCTGCCCCTGGGGCCAGCTCAGCCTCTGGGATCAACAACATCGGGGCTCTCGCACCCCCTCTCCCCGAAGCCCGTCTTTGAGCACTGACACCCCCCAAGATCTGGCACTCCCCCCACTTCCCCCACCTCGTCTCCCCACGCCCCTCCTGCCTGGGGACCTCTCGTGGCTCCCCGTGGGCCACACGTTCCGGACCCCCAACAGTCCCGGCCTCAGCTGGTCCTTTTCTAGGACGCTGCCAGACCCCTCAGGCAGTTTAGACACCGCCTCCTCCAGGAAGCCCTCCGGGACCACCACGCCCGGAAACAGGCGGTCTGCGGGAAGAACCAGGGGCAGCCACAGGTGCCAAATGGAGGTATAATAGTGGTTCCCGCACACTGGGCGTCGCCGGTGAGGACCAGCAGCTGCCGCAAGAGTGGGGTGTTTCCGCGAGGAGTCGGCGCTGTCCGAACCGCTCACAGTGGCCGCCGTCACTACACAAACTGAACCACAAATCTGGACCGGCTGCTCCCCGCCCACCGGAGCCCCTTAAGCCACGCCCCGGATGTCCCGCCTCCAGAGGCGCGGAGCTCCTCGCCTATTGGTTTTTCCGAAGCAATATGGCGGCGCCCGACAAAACTTCATGCCCTACTGCCCTAACAGCCAATCAGACGAAAGATATGTGCAGATCCCGCCTCCTCCAGGAGCACAGCGGACCAATCATGGAGGGTCGCCACGGAAAAGGCGAAGCCACCAGCCCAATGGCAGTGTCCTACAGCTAAGGTCCGCCTCCCGGCTGACCTGCCTGCTCCTGGAGGGAAGGAGCCGCAGCACCTCAAGGTGGGTGTTCGGGGCACTTCGGTGAAGATTGGGCCTGGGCCGCGCGGCGTCGGAGACGAATCTGGTGTCCCCGCTGGCCCCCGAACCCTACGCCCAGGTTCCATCTCGGCCTGCTCACGACCGCGGCCTCCGTGTCCTTCTGCGCTTTAGCGGCCGAGCGGGAAGCCGGCACCCGCAGGGCGCGTGCGCGTGCGCGTGCGCGTGCGCGGCCGGCTCCGACGCCGCCTGCGCCCGCGGGGTCAGAGGTCGCGGGGAAGGTCGCCGAAGGTGGTGGGTTGGGAGCCTGGAACTCGAATCTGCGGTCCAAAGTGGGTCGGCTCGAGGTCAGCGGCCACAGGTGGCCTGGGCGCGCTGGCTGAGCGCCGGGCTCCGGGCCGCCGGCTGGCGTGTGCCATTTCCCCCGTGCTCGCGAGCCCTCCGATTGCAGGTGACATCACCCTGCCCAAGGTCATCCTGGGGGCTGGGGACCAGTCCTGGAGGGCCCTGAAGTAGGGAAGGGAAACTGAGGGTTATTCCTCTCCTCCAGCGTGTCCAGCCTGGGAGTATGGGGTTCCCACCCCTCCTAGTCCCAAAGTCCAAAGTGTGACGTTGGGCCAGTCACATGACAAGCTGACAGTGAATGGAGCCTAGCTCGCCTCTCCCTCGGTGCTGGGAAGATGACTGGGGGAGGGGGTGGGCCCATGGAAGGCAGGAGCTCTAGGGATGGATTTCACAGGCTTCCTAGGAGGGGAGAGAGACCCTGGGGTTCAGCCCAGTCAAATAGGGTCAGGACTGAAAGGGTGTTGTCATGATGACCCTGGAGTGCCAGAGTGCCTGTCTGTCTGTCTGTCTGTCTTGCTTTCTCCCTCTCCTCTCTTCTCCTCCGTTTCTCTCGGCTCCCCCCCCCCCTCCTGTACTGGTGCTTGAACTTAGGGCCTAGGCACTGTCCCTGAGCTTTTATGCTCCAGGCTGGCACTCTGCCACTTGAACCACTCTACTTCCAGCCTTTTGGGCTTAATCAGGGATAAAGAGTCTCACGGACCTTCCCGCCTTGCTGGTTTTGAAGTGAGATCCTTAGAACTCAGTCACCTGAGGAGTCAGGATTATAGGTGTGTCACCAACCCCTGGATTCACCTTTCTCCTTTCTCTGCCCCCAGATGCGCTGTCTGACCACCTCCACGCTGCTGCGGGCCCTGGCCCAGGCTGCACGCACAGGTAGTGCTTGGAGCTTCCTGGGGATGGGGGAGCCCAGTTTCCCGGGACTAGCTCCAGGTCCCAGAGCCTCACTCCTTCCCTCTCTTTGCAGCACAACCCAGTGGCCGGAGCCTCCACAGCAGCCCAGTGACAGCGACCTACAGTGAGTACCAGGGTGGTGCTCAGCCTGTGCTTTCCCGACCATTATCCTGCTAGAGACCAAGGAGGACACTTGAGTTTTAGCCTTTTCCTTGTCAGGGCCCCTTCCTTGAGCCTTAGTTTCTTTTTCTAAAAAAATTATTGTAAAGGTAATAGGGGGATTACAGTTACATAAGTCAGATAATGAGTTCATTCTCTCTCTTTTTTTTTTTTGCCAGTCCTGGGTCTTGAACTCAGGGCCTGGGCACTGTCCTTGAGCTTCTTTTCCTCAAGGCTAGCACTCTACCACTTGAGCCACAGCGCCACTTCCAGCTTTTTCTGTGTATGTGGTACTGAGGAATCCAACCCAGGGCTTCATGAATGCTAGGCAAGCACTTTACCACTAAACCACATTCCCAGTCTAATTACTTAATTTTCTTTTGAACAGTGTCACCCCTTCCCTCATTCTCTCCCAGTTTTTCCCCTCTTGACTCCCCTCACCCCAGTGATTCAGTTCTAAAAATGACCATAATAAGTGGGGCGCTGGTAACTCAAGACTGTAATCCAAGCCACTCAGGAGGCTGAGATCTGAGGACTGAGGTTCAAAGCCAGTGCATGTGGAAATGTTCGTGAGATTTTTTTTTTCTTTTTGGTGCCAGTCCTGGGGCTTGAATTCACGGCCTGGGTGCTCTCCATAAGTTTTTTTTGTGCTCAAGGCTAGCACTCCACTTCTGGCTTTTTGGTGATTCATTGGAGATTGGAGATGAGTCTCATGGATTCTGCCCTGGCTTCAAACCATGATCCTCAGCTCAGCTTCCTGAGGAGTCCTCAGCCTCCACCAGGGGACATTTAGGCCTCTGGTTGGCTATTATTGCACCAGCCTGAGGGCCAGGCCTCACCTCCCCGAACTTGATTTTTTTTTTTCTTTTTGTCAGTCCTGGAGCTTGAACTCAGGGCCTGGTCACTGTCCTTGAGCGCTTTTGCTTAAGGCTAGTATGCCACTTCTGGTTTTCTAGTGGTTAATTGGAGATAAGCGTCTTGTTTTCCTACCGGAGCTGGCTTTGAACCATGATCCTCAGACCTCAGCCTCCTGAGTAGCTAGGATTACAAGCGTGAGTCACCAGCACCTGGCTCCAAGTTGGATTCTTTAACCCCCTGTCGTGGGCTCCCTGCAGAGTATGTGAATGTGCAGGAACAGCCGATGGACATGCGGTCAGTGACTGACCGGGCAGCTCGCACCCTGCTGTGGACTGAGCTCATCCGAGGTGAGACCCTGGGAGCCGGGTGGTGGGACGCTTCCCCGGCCGGGAGGCGTGTGCTGGGATAGCGTGCACCTGCTCTCCTGACCATTGTCCTGCACTGCTCACAGGCCTGGGCATGACCCTGAGCTACTTGTTCCGTGAGCCAGCCACAATCAACTACCCATTTGAGAAGGGTCCGCTGAGCCCGCGTTTCCGCGGGGAGCACGCGCTGCGGCGGTACCCATCCGGGGAAGAGCGCTGCATCGCCTGCAAGCTCTGCGAGGCCATCTGCCCTGCCCAGGTGAGCCGCGCCCTGACCCCCCCGGCCCCCCCCCCGGAGATGGGGGCACAGGAAAATCTGTCTCCTGCTTTGAGCCTCCCTCCCCACTCTGAGTGGAACTGAGAAGGCTGTGGTGGCCAGAGGCTGTGAGTCACCACATCTGCGGGTGATGCTGCCTGGGGCCCAGGGCCTGCCCTAGCGATCACCCCAGCCCTGTGGGGTGACCCCACTTGATCCTGGCTCCACCCCAAGAGGACATGTAAGCAAGTCCCCACTCCCTGGCCTGGCGGCTGCTCCTCAAAAACCTGGCTTTCAGTTGCACAGATGGCCTAGAGTCAGGGCTCGTGGCATAGAAATCGATGTCGTGCTGGGCGCCGTGGCTCACACCTGTAATCCTAGCTGCACAGGAGGTTGAGATCTAAGGATCAAGGTTCAAAGCCAGGTCTGGGGAGGAAAGTCCATGAGACTCATGTCCAGTTAACCACCAGAACACTGGAAGTGGCGCTGTGGTTCAAATGGTAGAGCACTCGCCTTGAGCTGAAGAGCTGAGGGGCAGCGCCCAGGCCCAGAGTTCAAACCCCATGACCAACCAAACAAAAAAAAAAAATGGAAAGAAATGGATGTGGTTGTGGCTCAGGCCTGGCCTGTGCCCAGTAGGAGTCTGGCCAGCCCAGGCCTTGCCACCTGCTCATCTCCTCAGTGCTGGGGCTCATGGGGCTCCTGGCCGAACCTGGCTGCTTGTGGGTCTTCCAAGCTGAGGGCTGTGGTCTTGACGTTTCTTCTGTAACCACTGCCTGGGCTCGTGGAGGGCCCGGCAGCAGCAGCGCTGGCTTCCAGGCTGCGAGCGCTGTGCTGCCGCCGGGCACTGTCCCGGCTCACGCCTCTTCTCACCTGTGTAGTCTTTGTGTGTGTGCCGTTGCTGAGGCTTGAACTCGGGGCCTGAGCGCTGTCCCTTAGCTTTTTCACTCCAGGCTGGCACTCTACTGCTTGAACCACAGCTCTACTTCTGGCTTATTGCTGGTTAATTGGAGATAAGAATCTCATAGACTTTCCTTCCCTGGTGGACTTCACACCATGGTCTAGGATCTCAGCTCCTGAGTAGCTAGGATGACAGGCGGGAGCCACTGACACCCAGTCCTGTCATTTTTACTCAACTCTTAACAGGTCGAGATTACTTCCTTGTTATAGACAAAAAAGATGGTGCTGCCCTCCGAGGGGTCCCCAGGAGTTCTGAGCAGCCACCCTTGGGGGAGTGTGAGGCCCAGGCATGGGCGGTGGTCCTGCTGTGGGGACCCAGGCCTCCCTTTCCTCTGCCTGACACTAGGCTGCTGCCAGAAACTGCTAGTTAGGGATCTGCTTTGAGAATGGGCTCTGCCCCTCACTTGCTGTGTGACTTCAGGCGTTCATCAGCTTCTCTGAGCCTCGGTTTTCTCATTCATCAAGTGGGGATGAGTAGAGCTAAGTCAGTGGATTTTGTTTTTTTGTGTTTTGTTTCTGTCAGTCATGGCTCTGAACTCTGGGCCTGGGCGCTGTCCCTCAACTCCTCAGCTCAAGGCTAATGCTCTACCCCTTGAGCCACAGTGCCGCTTCCAGCTTTTTCTGCTTATGGGATGCTGAGGGATTGAACCCAGGGCCTCATGCATGCAAGGCAAGCGCTCTACCACTGAGCCACCTTCCCAGCCCCAAGTCAGTGGTTTTTTTTTTTTTTTTTTAATTTTTATTTGTGAACATACTGTACAGAGGGGTTACAATTGCATGGGCAGGATAATGCGTACATTTCTTACCAAGCATTGAAGTCAGTGGTTTTTTAACCAGCCATTGTGCACTTCCTGCATGGGGAGAGACCCCCCCCTTAAGGCATCAGGTCTGTGGAGAGCAGAGCCGGACAACCTTCCCTTGTGGGAGCTGGGCTTGGGACAGGAGACGGAGCGTTAACAAAGGACAGGCACAAGTGGGGGGCAGACACAGGCTATGTTGGCCCTGGGAGGGTCCAGAGGTGGAGGGAACATCCATGCAGACACCGGGGTGGGATTGGCGCTGCGGGCCACCCAGGGCCAGGACGTGGCCGGCAGTGACCGCGGCCCCTCCCCAGGCCATCACCATTGAGGCGGAGCCGAGGGCGGACGGCAGCCGCCGGACCACCCGCTATGACATCGACATGACCAAGTGCATTTACTGCGGCTTCTGCCAGGAGGCCTGTCCCGTGGACGCCATCGTGGAGGTGAGTGGGCTCTGGGAAGGGGGGGACGCAGCTGGGGCAGCGGCTCCCGAGCGAAACCCGATCCCACGCCGCCTGCACTCCGCCCTGCAGGGCCCCAACTTTGAGTTCTCCACGGAGACGCACGAGGAGCTGCTGTACAACAAGGAGAAGCTGCTCAACAACGGGGACAAGTGGGAGGCTGAGATCGCCGCCAACATCCAGGCCGACTACCTGTACCGGTGATGCTTCCGCCACCCGCCCGCCTCGGCTGCAGCCCTGCCGCCCAATAAAGAGCTCTGACCCCCCACTGTGCCTCCTGCCGTGCCTCCTGGGGTCCGGGGCCAGCCACGGCCTGCCTGTCCACACAGCTGCCCCGTGTCTTCCCCAGTTTGGCAGTGCTGAAGGTCACCTTACCCCTATGGGGTCGGTCTAGGTGCAGCCGCTGAGGGCTCCCTGTGACTTAACACCCCTGGTACTCGGAGCCTCCCAAGGCCTTGGACCGAGGTACATCGAGGAGCTCAGAAGGGCCAGGGTGTCCTTGAGGGTGTGGCCTGCTCTGGGGTGACAGTCACGAGGAGGTGACCCAGGCCCTGCTGCCTCTGAGCTGTCTTGGCCACATCCCCTTTCCTCTTCACAGTCCTGCACCAGGCGATTGCTTGGCTGCATGACTTCCTGCTTTGTTAGTCCCAGCAAAAGGGGTGCAGTTCCCCTGGGGCCACTTTGAGTAATAACCAGAAGCAGCCCTTGAGCTTGGTGCTGAGCCCTGTGGAAGGACTGACCTTCCTTGGCAGGAAGAAGCAGGCCCAGGTGCAAGGCCTGCCTTGGGTCTCAAAATCTATATGCAGACCCGAGTCCCTGCCCCCACCATGTCCAAAACTGCCTTTCAGGAAATAGAAGTTTCCCAAGATGCATGTTGGTAAGGGAGGTGGTGCTCTGTGGGCCAGTGAGCATGGGGAATGCCCCTCGACAGTCACTCGAGACCTTCACGGCTCTGAGCCGGGCCTGTAACAGAACTGCAGCTCCCTCCCCACGGTCCCCCTCAGATCCCCTGCTGACACTGTCCCAGGCCCTGCGCTGGCCTCAATGCTCAAGGACGGGGCTCCCGTGGCCATGAGCACAGGTGAGCGGGAACAGCCTGAACACGGGAGCTCAGCTGGGTGCTGAGTCCTGCCGCTGCTGAGACAGCGCCCCTTCCAAGAGTGCAGGCCAGGCCAGAGAAGCAGAGCAACCCCTGTGTCTTTCCAGCCAGAACCCCCTTCACACGGGCACAGCACCCGGATACTGGAACATTTGTATTCATTGTGGGGCAGTCAAGGCACGCGTGCGTATCCTAACAAAGTCCAGTGGAGGAAGCCTGGCCCGAGGCCCCTCCTGCTCCAGCTGTGACACATGAACACTCGGCCCTTACCTTCCTGAGGACACGGTTTCCAGGCCTGGCTCTGCAGCTCCAGGCCCTCATCCCACCCCTTGGAGGCCTTTGCTTCCTCTGTGGGGTTGAGGTCTCACCAGAACTGAGGGCTGTGGCCCTCCTGTCCCCTGTTCACAGTGCAGGTCGTGGACGGCACTAGGGCCAGTTTCCAGGCACTGGTACAGGGACTGAGCGTCAGGGAGCCAGGTCGCCACCGCAGGTGGGTGACAGGCAGCCCAGGCTGCTAGGAACTGCCCTCCCCACCACCCGCTGACAAGGAAGCAAGTTCCCATCCCCACCCCTGCAAGGACAGAAGACTGGCCTGCTGTGTAGCCCCAGCCCCGGGGGGTCAGAGCGGGAAAGTGAGCAGGGAAGGGACCCTGTTAGTGGAGGAGGGTGTGGGGCACGAGGGGTCCAGGCCCAGTGGCCTAGGCCCAGTGAGGCCCTATCACTCATGGGGCAGCAGCCCTCCAGGTAGGAGGGAAGAGGGAGCTCATCCGGTAGGGGGGAATCAGAGCACAGGGGGCTCCCGCGGCCCCCTGCCCCTCAGTTGTGAATGGAATTAAATGGCTCAGGGTCAGAACCGTCACCCCAATGACTAGGCCCTGGGGAGGTGGGCGGGGTCTGCGCTCCCAGAGCGGCCGCGCGGGGCGTGGCTTGCGCGTCGGTGGGCGTGTCGTCCCCCGGCCCCGCCCCGAGCTGGAATTAGCTGCGCGGGCCCGCGGCGGGCGGGGAGCAGAGCCGGCCTCGGAGCGGGACTGCGCGCCCTCGGGGTGAGTGGAGCCCCAGCTCTTCCCGCCACCCGCTTCCGCTGCCGAGGACGAGTCCTGGCGCCCTGCCAGGCCGCGGTCACCCCGCCGGGGCAGGGGAGGCCGTGAGGACCCGGAGGACGGGATGGTACCCCAACCCCGGAGCCCCGCTGCCGGGCCGGGGCCGGAGCAGCTGCTTGGCGGGACGGAGCCCATTTCACAGATGAGGAGAGCGAGGCTCGGCCAGCCAGGGTTGGCGAGCCGGGTCATTGCGACCCCAGAGCCCCGGCCCGGGAGGAGGAGAGGCGGGGCCGGGAGAGGGGCCGGGGCGGGGCCGCGCCACCCGCGGCCGCCCGGGACCAGGAAGCGCCCGCGTGTCCCGCAGGCCACGCCGGACCTCCGGGCCCCACGGGAGCTCCGCGCCGAGGCTCGCCCGTGCGCCTCGCAGTCTGACTGGGGGCCGGGGTGGGATGAAGCCAGAGGAGACCAGGCAGGAACTTCCGAACCTGCACCCGGTCCGGGTCCCGGCCCTGGCCTGGCTTGGGTGTCTCCTCCCTCCCCCCCCCCCCCCCCCCGCTCGCGTGTCCCAGCCTCGGATGACCTGGAAGACGGCTCAGTACCCCTCCCCTGCGCTACTGTCAGGAGGTGTGGCTGAAGGAATTTGGGGAGGGGGCTCTGGGTCTTTTTTCTTCATCACCTCTTTAGTCAGGTCCTGTCTCCTCCTCCGGTGTCCAGGTCCCAGCCAGGAGGAAATGGAGGTCCAGAGAGCGTAAGGGACTTGCCCAGGTTCACACAGTAACAAACACGAAGGGGCAGCGCCAGGGCCTGTGGCCTATAGCTGTGCCCTTGGCTGTCACCCCACCCTCCCAGGCCGGGCCCTGCCCTTCCGCAGTCCCTGCTTGCAGGGGTTCGGTTATTTCCCAAGGAGGAGGAGGGCTGCAAAGTTCCTATTCCAAGTTAAGCAACCAGGTGGGGGGGGGGGCAGAGAGACACCCAGACAGCAGGCAGGGCGGGGCCTCGGCCACACCTGCCCCCTCCACCCTAAGCTGAGTGCCCACAGAGGGCTCCTGGCCCAAGAGGAGTGGGTGAGAGCTGGCAGGGCCCCGTGGCCAGCCCCCCAGCCTTCCAGCCAGGCCCTTCCTGCCCAGCGCTCTCAGTCTTGCCTTACAGTTTTCACTTTCGTTAGTTTCAACACAGCTATGAGCAAGTGCAGCCTGGAAGCAGGCGTGGGGGGGGGCAGCCCCTGCCAGGCCATCCACTGGGGGGAGGGGGAGGCCCAGAAGAGACTCCACCCCACCCCTAGGGGCTGGGGGACTCGGTTCTGTCCTGGTTTCTGTCCTGGTATGTCAGGCCCGACTGGAATGGCCGTGTGTCTGCATCCCTGGGATGAGCAGGGTCCAGGGGGAGGGCAAGTCAGAGAGGAGGGAAAAGGAGTCAGGAGAGTGTGCAGAGCCAGGGGTACCCGAGCTGCTGGGCGGGGGGGGGGGGGAAGGGGCTGTGGTTGGCTGTGGGGGAAGAAAGGATGGCTCCCTGAACAAGCACCCTGCTTACTTCGTGTGGGCCTCGGCACCCCATGGCCCCTTCCTGGGCCTCAGTTTCCCCAGCTGTCAGGTGGAGGGTAGCAGCACTTTCTGGGATTGTGTGTGCAGCTGTGTCTCACCCCTGACCAGACCCCCCACCCCACCCCCTTAGAGCCATGGGCTCCTTATTCCGGAGCGAGGAAGTGGCCCTGGTCCAGCTGTTCCTGCCCACGGCTGCCGCCTACACCTGTGTGAGCCAGCTGGGCGAGCTGGGCCTCGTGGAGTTCAGAGACGTGAGTCGGGGCTGACCAGAGCAGGGAGGGCTTCACTGCGCGGAGCCCCCCGTGCTGTGTGGTGGGACCAGCCTGTGGCTCCGTAGGGTGCTCGGAGCCTCTTTGGCAGAGGCGGCTAAGGCTGGGGGAAAGCCAGGCCTGGGCCCCAGGGTGGACATCTTCTCTCGCTCCTCCCTGGGACACTGACCCCATCTGTGGCCACCGCAGCTCAACGCGTCAGTGAGCGCTTTCCAGAGACACTTCGTGGTAGATGTCCGACGATGCGAGGAACTGGAGAAGACCTTCAGTGAGTCAGCCCAGCCCTCACCCCTGGCAGACTCCCTGGAGGAGGTTCTGAAAGGAAGGGCCCCGTGAACCAGGTAGAAAGCAAAAGAATTGGGCAGATAGTCAGGCCCTGCCAAGTAAGACAGAGCAGCTGGGATCGAGGGGTGTTCTTGGGATGGGGACCTGGGTGGGTTGACAGGACCTGTGTCAGGGTTCGCTGAGAACCTCGTCCTGTGGGTGCCAGAGTCTGAAAGGGCTTCTAAGCAGATACGAGGTGTGGGCTGAACTTTCTCCCCTTTGATGGGCAGGGGGGTGTCCTCCGCAGTTCCTTCCTGGGGCCAGAGCCGGGGTCCCTGTGCTGGCCCTGCCCTGGCTGCGCTCGGGAGGGGTTGGTGCTCGAGTGGGAAGACACAGCAGGCTCTATTTTGTGGCGTGGCAGTCTGGCTTATATGAAGCAGTGGAGCCCTTGTCTCCACCGTGCTCTCCACCATGGGGCTTGGGCCCCGGCTGGCATGGTGAGGGCAGAGTCGGCAGAGCCCCGCCAACCTGAGCTCCGAGGGACAGGAGCAGAGCTCCAGGGACCAAAGTTTTGGCGTGTGTGTGTGTGTGTGTGCACGCGCGCACGTGGGTGCGTGCACGTGTGTGTGTGTGTGTGTGTGCACATGCTGACCCTGGGTCTTGACTTGAACTCAGGGCCTGGGCACTGTCCCTGAGCTGCAGCACTCTAGCACTTGATCCACAGCTCCACTTCCAGATTTTTTTTTTGTTTTGTCCGTTGTGGAGCTTGGACTCAGGGCCTGGGCGCTGTTCCTGAGTGCTTTCTGTTCTTTTTGCTCAAGGCGAGCGCTCTACCACTTTGAGCCACAGCCCCACTTCCAATTTTCTGGTGGTTTGTTGGACATAAGAGTCTCACAGACTTTCCTGCCCGGGCTGGCTTTGAGCTGTCTGTGATCCTCAGATCTCAGCTTCCTGAGTAGTTAGGATGACAGGCATGAGCCCCTGGGGCCTGGTCTTAGCTTGGGATTTTTTTTTTTTTTGGTCCGGTCTTGGGGCCTGAACTCTGGGCCTGGGCGCTGTCCCTCAGCTCTTCAGCTCAAGGCTAGCGCTCTACCACTTGA